GCAATCTTAACCACAAAAGAACAAATCTGGAGGCATCACATTACCAGACTTCAAACTGCACTACAAGGCTATAGTAACCACAACATCATGATACTGACACAAAAGTAGAGGCAAGACCAATGGAATAGAACAGAGAACCCAGATATAAAACCATCCAAATATAGCCAACTGATCTATGACAAAGCAGACAACACTATACACTGGGGAAAAGAAGCCCTATTCAATAAATAGTGCTAGGAAAACTGGATAGCCATATGCAGAAGAATGAAACAGAATCCATACCTCTCACCACTCACAAGTTAATTCAAAATGGATTAAAGACTTAAATGTTAGGCATGAAAGAACAAGAATTCTAGAAGAAAATGTAGCAAAAACTCTTCTAGATATTGGCCTAGGCAAAGAATTTATGACTAAGACCCCAATGGCAATTACATCAATAACAAAAATAAATAAATGGGACTTGATTACATTAAAAAGTTTCTGCACTGCTAAGGAAATAATCAAAAGAGCATAAAGACAACCTACAAAATGGGAGGAAATATTTGTAAGCTATACATCCAATAAAGGGCTAATATCCAAAATCTACAGAGAGCTCAAACAAATCAGCAAGAAAAAAACAAATAATCCCATTAAAAAGTGGACAAAAGACATGAACAGATGTTGTTCAAAAGAAGATAGACAAATGGTCAATAAATATATGAAATAATGTTCAATGTCACTAATCATCAGGGAAATGTAAATGAAAACCACAATTAGATATTACCCATTAGAATGTCTTTTATTAAAAAGTTCAAAAACAATAGATGTTGGTGTGGATGGAGAGAGAAAATAACGTTTATACACTGTTGGTGGGACTGAAAATTAGTACAACCTCTATAGAAAACAGCATGGAGATTCCTCAAAGAAATAAATTACTATTCAACCCAGCAATCCACTACTGGGTCTACCCAAAGGAAAATAAAGTCATTTTATCAAAAAGATACCTGCACTCAAATGTTTATTGCAGCACAGTTCACAATTGCAAAGATGTGCAATCAACACAAGTGCCCATCGATTCATGAGTGGATTAACAAAATGTGGTATATGTATACCATGGAGTACTACTCAGCTATAAAAAGGATCAATTAATGCTTTTTGGAACAATTTGAAAGGAACTAGAGACCATTATCCTAAACCAAGTATCTCAAGAATGAAAAACAAATACCATATCTACTCATAAATTAGAACTAACCGATAAGCACACATGTGCACAGAGGAAAGTAAAGCTCGGTGGAAATCAAGCAGTGGGGAAGGGTGTGGGTGAAAACCTACCTAACACTACAATGAACACTGTTTGGGTGATGGACGCACTTATAGATATGACTCCAGAATTACAAAAGTGATCCATGTAACCAAAAATATCTGTATCCCCTTAATATTTTGAAATTTAAATAAATAAAGAAGTGGCTTTGGAATTGGGTAGCAGACATTGACTAGAAGAATTTCATGAAGCACACAAAAATATAGCAAATTAATAAAAATCCCTTAACATGAAAAATAGCATTGAGAGAGTAAGAGACAGGAAGACCGAGAAAAAGAGAGAGAAAGGGAGGTGCTGGCTGACTACAGCAAACAAGAAAACATCCCCTTAAAATCAGGAACAAATAAACAATGCCCACTCTCATAAATTCTATTCAATATTATTTTAGAGGTCCCTTCCAATGCAGGAAGGCAAGGCAAAGAAATAGAGGGTGTTACAAATTGGAAAGCAAGAAAATTTAGGCTATTATTATTCATGGATGCTTTGATTATGTAAGTAGGAAATAAAAATCTAATCATTATGACAGAGTAGCTAAGTCTTCAGATGCAAAAATCTATGACACTTCTATTTCTTTAGAAAATATATTTCAAAAGGTAGAAATTAAAATAGCATAAAAAGGCCAGGCAAGGTGACTCATGCCTGTAATCCTACCACTTTGGGAGGCCAAGGTGGGAGGACTGCTTGAGGCCAGGAGTTTGAAACTAGCCTGAGTACAAGTGAGACCCCATCTCTGCAAAAAATAGAAAACTTAGCTGGGCACGGTGGCGTGCACCTGTAGTCCTAGCTACTCAGGAGGCTGAGGCAGGAAGATTGTTTGTGCCCAGGATTTTGAAGTTGCAGTGAGCTATCAAAAGGCCACTACAATCCAGCCCACAATATAGCCAGACCTTGTCTTGAGAAAAAAAAAAAAGCATAAAAATATGAAGCACCTAAGATTAATCTAACAAAAAATAAATAAGATTTTATAAGAAAATTATAAACATTTTATTATAAGATATTAAAGAAATCCTTCAAAAAATGGCAACATTTAATGTTCATTAATGAAAAGATGCATCTTGACATCCTAGAGGTCAAATCTCTCCAATTTAATGTACAAATTCAGTGCAGTTGTAAAGTCTGACAAGTTTAACTCAAATTTATATGAAAGTATAAAGGCCATAAGTAAACTGCTTGTAAAGAAACAATATGGGTTGACTTGCCCTATAAGATATCAAGACTTATTTTAAATCTGTAATCATTAAGATTCTTAAGGATTGGCACAGTAATAGATAAAGCCAATAGAAGAGAATAGAAGGTACAGAAATAAATCTTTAAGCTGTGATATTTTCATCAACAGCATACAAAAACATATACATCTAGGAGATCCTATTTCGAAAGATATTTGAGGAAGCTAGGTGATAGCCGAAATGGAATAAATCAGGAGTTGGCAAACTATGGGCCAAATCTGCCCTGCTGCCTGCTTGTAAATAAAGTTTTATTCTAAATAGCCATACTCATTCATTTATGTATAGTCTATGGCTGTTTTCATACTACAGAACTGACTTAAGTAGTTGCAACAGAAACTGAACAGCCTGCAGAAATATTTATCTGGCCCTTTATAGTAAAAGTTTGCTGACTTTTACTATACTAAGTAAATGGGTATAAGAAAATGTTACACATTACAACAACAGATATGTGTGCCCAGTATCCTTTTTCCCTTTTGTTAAGAAACAGCATCACATTTTAGAAAGGTTCAGTACCTCCCACATTTCCATTTGTCCCAATGAAACTTGCGCCAAACCAGGCAAGATCCCATCTTCTAAGAATTGACTATTATGAAAGGAAAACAGGTGGAGCTGAGTAATTCCAGATCCAATATCCCATAGGATGGAATAAACAGCCATAAGTTCCCTCTCTAAAAATTCCCTGAAAGGGCAGAAGTACTGCCTGTTCATGAACTCATTATTTTGACTCCTAGAGTTGCTCTGGTTCTACCCCTCACCAAACATGTTGTTCAACTTTTCTTTCAATTTTTTTAAATTACCCTAATATTTGTCCAATAAATTTGTTGCTTTAGATATTTAGAGTGAGTTTTTCCTGCTCACACAAAAGAAAATAAGAAACTTGACTAATTCACAGGAAAATACTGATTAATATTTGACAGATATGAGTAAGAATCAAATGTGGCTTTTGATTATTAAGCTTAGTTGTCTACGAAAATTAAAGTTAGGAAAGGAAGTTTCCTTTGGAAGAAAAATGATAACTTTGTTATTAGGAATCCTGAGTTTGATATATGCTATAGCCATTATTCTCTCCTCACCATCCTATCCCACCAACTCCCATGTTAAATTTCTTTCTCTGAAAACAGACTACTTCTCCAACTCTTGGTCGCTACCCTCATGTGAATATAACATTACCACTATATATGTAGTAATGCTCCCCCCAAATTTCTCCTTCATGCTTTCACACAATGATCAGAAGTGCTACAAGTAATTTCCAATGAGAGAAGGTAAGGTCAGTAATTCATTGATGACATTTCAAATATGTAAAGCATTAGAAATATGGCCACTAGACTTTAATATATTTTAGAAAATTAAAAGCTTAAGTGAGTAGTGAAGTGGGAATGATGTGCAGAGGCTGAGACAAAAATGGATAAGAGGTATAATCTATCAAATGAACACTGAAGTTTCTATGGATTGAACAGGAAAACCATATTGTATCCTCCACCATATATTGAACAAGCCCATGAAAAACCATTGCTCTCTAGAGCAAAATGAGATGCAGAACACCTAAAGAAATAAAATAAGAAAGCAAAACCAGAAACTGCTACATCTTCAAGACATCTAAGAAGCTAAAAAGTGTATTCACTGTGGCTCTAACAGTACATGATTAAAAGGTTACAAAATTCTCATACTTAGCCTACTCAATTCATGATTTTACTATTGATGAATTACTATTTTTAGCATTTTTTGTACTGATATTCTATTCCTACTTGAAATGATACCTAAAAGGAACTATTCCTAAACTGAACATATGTGACAGCCCTGATCTTAGCTTTGACACCTATGTGAGATCACTGATTTTCTGATTAAATGGCAAATCGCCTGGCAGTATTAATATTTCTGCTTACTTATCTAGTAAGGAATAAATATCAAGTAACTAACATTAGTGGATTCAAGAGCATTTTCCCAGCCACAAATCTTATGTTTGTAACTGGTTAATAAAAAATTCATTCCTAATCTTTTTCACTTTGTTATCCCTAGGATGAATTTATAAGCTGTCCAAAAATGTCAAGGAGAAAGAGAAAATGCAAAAAGAAACAAATTTTCCTTTATCCTTGGCATTTCTATTTACTCTGCTTGGTATAACAAACTGGGACACACATAGTACATAGTTGCAGATAATACCACAAAATGCACTGAAAATATATTTGAAAATTTTAATTTACTGATAATTTAATGCAGTTAAATATTTGGCCTAGAAATTTCTTTTGGGATGCTTAAATTTTATCTCTATTTTATCATAGCATCCTTTTGGTTTGGATAGCTAATATGGTAATTTAGAATACAACATTATTTTATTTTTTTAAAGCACAGCTGCTACAAATCATTAATATTAAAAATCTATTATAAAACATTTAAATATCTCTTTGATTCCTCTCCTAAAATAATAACCTTGTTAGGTACTATATGACATTTTTAGACACTAAAATTTTACCCACCTCTATATCCTTCAACTTTTGTAGTTCAATTTCTAGCATCAGTTTCTCCTCTGATAATACTTCAAAATTACTTTGCATCTGTTTGTATTTCTAAAAACAAATATTATAATTTTAGTAATAATGATGAGCAAACATCTTAAAATAAAAAGGATATCTGGATATTTAGTTTTTAAGGTAAGAAAGTCTTCATGAACTCCTGAAGATAATGAACCATTGGCATAATCTGTATAGTAAGGCTATAATTGGGGCTAAAAGAGGCAAAGTAACTAGAAGTGAAAATGACTGGAACTATTCAGAAGACTGTAGGATATTATAGTTTAATATTTCAGAAGTTAAGTATTTCTGAGTGATAATAAGGTCAAGTAAAATTAAAAGAATAGGCTATTATCCTATGTGAAATATCTCAGGAATAGAAAAATAAACACCACATGTTCTCACTTAAAAGTGGGAGCTAAGCAATTGGGTATATATGGTCATACAGAGTAGTATAATGGACATTAGAGACTCAGAAAGTGGAGGGTGAGAGGGGGATAAGAGATGAAAAATAACCTATTGGGTAAAATGTACACTATTCAGGTAAGGGGTGCACTAAAAGCCCTGACTTCACCACTACACCATTCATCCATGTAACAAAAAACCACTTGTATCCCTTAAATCTACTGAAATAAATTTTTTAAAAAATAGACAAAGCTTTCCAGCTCACATACATAGAAATCTCTTGAATAAACCATATAAGCATTAGATCTTTATTTTTATGTATTCTAAAACTGTTTAGAGTCTATTAAGACTCAAGGGCAAAAGTGTAATTTCAAATTGAGAATGCTATACTTACAGCCTCAAGCAAACTTTGATCATTTAGAGCTCTGAAAAACAAACCAAAAATATCTATAATGTATAATTTTACATTTATCTTTTTATTTATGTAACACACATACATTTTCTTTATAAAAAGTTTAAAATAGCACAAATGAAGGTTAGAGTACACTTTGACTACCACTCCAAAAATTTAATGCTACTCCCAGAGATATTGTTGGATTACTGCTAACTTTCCAGAACTTGTTCCAAGCAATAACACAATACTGCATGTACATATTTAACCCTATAATTTTTGTTAGGAGATTAGATTTGTTTTATTTTCTTTTTCACATAAATGACATCACTATCGTATACATTCTTCTCAACTTATTTTCACTTAACATAATGTCTCAGATCTCTATGTCACTACACATAGATGTTTCTCACTCCTCTTAAATGCTACTTACTATTCCACAGCAGGAGTTGGCAAACAATTTTTGTAAAGAGTTAGCCATTAAATATTTTAGATTCTGCAGGCCCAGTAGTCTCTGTCTCTACCAAACTTTGCAAAAGCAGCTACAGATAATAGGTAAATGTATTGGAATGGCTGCAGGCCAGATTTGACTCATGGGCTTCAGTTTGCTGACATGCATAGAATGAATAAGCCAGAGATTTTTTTTTCTTACAAAACAGTTGTCTATTAAATTAGAATTTACAACAGCTTTATTAAGATATAATTAATGCACCATGAAATTTGTGAATTTTTTAAGTATACAATTCAGTGTCTTTTAATATATTCACTAAGTCAAGAAACCATCATCACCATCTAATTTTAGAACATTTTAGTTACTCACAAAAGAAAACCCACATCCATTAGTAGTTATCCTAATTCCTCCTTGCATGGCCCAGTCCTGTCAGTCAGAAGTCTACTTTGTCTCTATAGGTTTGTCTATTCTAGATATTTCATATAAAGAGAAGCATACAATATGTGGTCTTTTGAGACTGGCTTCTTACACTTAGCATAATGATTTCAAGGTTCATCACTATTGTAGCATGTATCATTACTTTGCTCCTTTCTGTTGCCACATAACATTCCATTATATTGATACACATTTTATTTATATCTTCATCAATTTATGCACATTTCAGTTGTTTCCACTTTTTGGCTATTATGAATAATTCTACTATGAACATTCATGGGCAAGTTTTTGTGTTGACATTCGTTTTCATTTATCTCAAGTATAAACCTAGAAATAGAATTTCTGGGTCATATGTTAACTCTATATTTAACATTTTGAGGAACTAACAACTGTTTCCAAAGAAGATACACCATTTCAATTCCCACCAGCAATGTCTGAGGGTCTCAATTTCCCTACATACTTGCCAAAAATTGTTATTGTCTGGTTGTTTACAGTCATCCTAGTGGGTGTGAAGTGGCATCTCATTGTAGTTTTGATTTGCAATTCCCTAATGACCAACAATGCTAAATATCTTTCATGTTCTTTTTTTTTTTTTCCATTCATTTGTCTTTATTTTATGCAAGTTTCTTTTTTTATTTCGGCATATTATGGGGGTACAGATTTTAAAGTTTCAATAAATGCCCTTTCCCCCCTCCCCCCACAAGTCTGAGTCTTTCATGTTCTTATTGAACATTTGTATATCTTATTTGGGAAAATGTCTATTCAGATCCTTTGCCCATTTTTAATTGGGTTATTTATCTTTTATTATTACGGGGTAAGAGTTCTTTATATAAGCTGGATACATAAGTACCTTATGAGATATATAATTTGTGAATATTTTTTACATTCCATGAGTTGTTTTTTCATATTCTTGATGATATAATTTGTAGCACAAAAGTTTTTAATTTTGATAAAGTTCAATTATCTATTTTTTTTTATTTTATGGCTGTGCTTTTGGTGTTATATCTGAGAAATTACTGCCTAACCCAAGGCCACAAATAATATTTAGTCCTATAATACATCTAAGATGTCTATAGTTTTAGCTCTTAAATTTAGGTCTTTGATAATTTTGAGTTAATTTTAGCACATGGCATGATGAAAGAATTAAACTTCAATCTTTTGCATACAGATAACCAGTTGTCCAAGTACCATTTACTAAAGACTACTCTTTCCCTCCATTGAATTGTATTATCTTAAAAAATCAATTGACCATAAATGTAAAGATTTATTTCTACATATTCGGTTCTATTCCATTGCTCCATATGTCTATCCTTATGCTAGTACCACATTTCCTTGATTACTATAGCTTTGTATTAAGTTTTTTTTTTGCTATTAAGATTTTTCTTTTAATATGCCATGAGATAGCTTGATTGTATATTTTCCAAAGTATTTTTCCAGCCACATCTTCCCACCCTTCCAAGAGATTTCACCAGTCTTTCCAATGCAATAAAAGATGCTGGATTATAGTTCTGTGCTTTTCTTTTTGGAAGCAATATAATACTAATGACTTTAATGGTAATACACTCTTTTTTTTTTTTTTTAATATTTTTTTTTTTTTTGAGACAGAGTTTGCTTTGTTGCCCAGGCTAGAGTGAGTGCCGTGCATCAGCTCGGCACAGCCAACTCAAACTCCTGGCTCCAGCAATCCTTCGCCTCCAGCCCTCCGAGTAGCTGGACTACACAGGCCATGTCCACCATGGCCACGGCTATATGTTTTATATATAATACATCGCCTTGCGCAATTAATTTCTTTCATTTATAGTAGAGAGACGGGGTGCTCGCTCTTGCTCAGGCGTTGAACTCCTGACCTTGAGCAACGTCGCCCGCTCGCGCCCAGAGAGCTAGGATTACACGTAACCACAGCGCGCGTATCGTATACACTCTTATCTAATAAAGAAAACATTTACAAATATCAGAACCCAGTTTTGTACATTTGCATATTTTGACTGAATCAGCATTTTGTGGGTTTTAAAAGGGCAGAGTTGACTCCGACTTGCTGATAAACATTTCTGCTGAGGGAAGGGGAGGGAGGGAGATTAAATGCTGCATTTCTCCATTGGCCCCCAAAGTGCTAATTTTAAAAGGGATACATCAAAAGCAACATGCAATGGTTGTTTTAAAACTTTTACTGCAATATACAAATGAAGTAAACAGTAATTAGACACCTACCAATTTTTTCCCCAAAACAAACAAAAAATGTAAACAGGAAAATAATCTGCCTATTCTTGTACAGTTTTCAAATCATGTTAGAAGATCTCACATTCAATGATCAGAAATTTTAAATCAGTAATTATTTTCTCTTAAAAGAAAAGTTTCCCTTTCTCCCCTCCACCCAAGTATTTACATGAAGAATGGGCTTCCTTACAAATTAATTTATACTTATTTGTGAAGCAGCAACAATTAACCATCAATAATTTGGCATTTCGTTTACAGTTGCTACAAAATTTTTTAAAATTTCACAAAGCCATTATCCAGTGTTGCCATGAAACAGAGACTGTAAATCCTATAGGTAGCAAAGATTCTTCTGAAACCAATGTTAAGTCAAAGAAATATAAAGCAGGGCATTACACTAAGTTTCTGGATCTAGTACACTAAAAAGAGTGAAACCTAGGAAAAGTTACCTACTGTTTTATAGAAGAAATAAAGACCTGCAAAGCTGATTTTGGTTGTATAATATTTTACACACTGTGTGGAGTCGCGGCATCTGCTAATTGCAGCAGACATGCACTGTATTTATCCCTGCCCTATATCTTAGATCCCTCCCTCCCCACCCGACAATCTACTACCTTATACCAAGTATTGTGGATATGAGCCCAAGTCATCCCAGACAATCCAGTGAACAAACTTAGTGTAATGCACTGGTGTGATGTGTGAGATACAAAAAAAGTCCCTTTCAATCTTCATCAAAGTTCTGCTGTAGAAGAAAATTGGCAGCCAAATTCTCATTCTTCTCACAAGCAAAATATGCTTGTATCACAAGTCCTTCAGGAAATCCTAATACCTTTAACCTTTCTATAGCTTCTTTTTCCTGAGGTGTTACTTGAATGTAGTTCATATGACCGCTTCCAGCTTCTGCAATTCCTCCACTGCCCCCTCGACCTCCTCCTCCTCCTTGACCACCAGCTTCTTGAACTGAAACTATTAGAATTCTGGAGGAAAATGTTGGAAACACTCTCCTAGACATCGGCCTAGGCAAAGAGTTTATGAAGAAGTCCCCAAAGGCAATCACAGCAGCAATGGATTAACAAAATGTGGTATATGTATACCATGGAGTACTATTCAGCTCTAAGAAACAACGGTGATATAGCACATCTTATATTTTCCTGTTTAGAGCTGGAACCCATACTACTAAGTAAAGTATTCCAATAATGGAAAAACAAGCAGCACATATACTCACCAGCAAACTGGTATTAACTGAGCAGCATCTAAGTGGACACATAGGTACTACAGTAATAGGGTATTGGGCAGGTGAAGGGGGAGGGGGCCAGGTATATACATACATAATGAGATGTGCACCATCTGGGGGATGGTCATGCTGGAGACTAAGACTTGTGGGGGTAGGCGGGAAAGGGCATTTTTTGAAACCTTAAAATCTGTACCCCCATAATATGCCGAAATAAAAAAACAAAACATTTTCTTTATAAAAAGAAAAGTCCCAGACCAGATGGTTTCACACCCAAATTTTACCACACCTACAAAGACGAACTGGTGCCTATCCTGCAGAAATTATTTTATAACATGGAAAAGGATAGAATCCTCCCCAACATGTTTTAGGATGCCAACATAACCCTGATAATCAAAACTAGGAAAGAACGCAATAGGAAAAGAAAACTAGAGACCAATATCCCTCATGAATATAGATCCAAAAATTCTCAACAAAATTCTAGCAACCTAAATCCAGGTGCTTATCAAGAAAATAATCCGAGGGATTGTCAAAAATGGCGGATTAGGAATGACCTCCTGGCTCTCTACTCTCAGAGTGGGAGGTGAATAAAACAGTATAAATCACTCAAGTGGATAGTTCTCCCATAGAATCGGCTTAACGGAATTGCAGGGAAGCTTTGAGGAGTAGTTGTTGTAGGAAAAGGAGGAAAGTGATGCAGTGGATT